AGAACAAATACAAGGAGGGATCCCAATATTGTCCGCAATAGTCCACGCAATAGCTCTTTTGAACCTTTTTAGCACTTTCACGAAACTCTCAACTTGTTGTTCATTCAGATCTGATGCAATGATTACCGACAAAGTGTCACCATTTCCTAAGAATTCATACCTTAGATGATGTGGGAGAGATTTTAGTTTGAACTTGGGAGCCTCATCTATAGATGGTTTCAATGGGTAGAGACTCGCGGTTCTTCATGTCTAACTAATATTTCTTCAATTTTAACCTAACATCAACTTAATCAAGATCCATGACTAATTACTCATACTCTTCAATGTAATCGTAATCAAAATTTATTATCACTGCAGCTAATGCTTCTACACCCAGAAGTTCTTGTATTTGTCTCTCAAATGACTCACTAACTTTGTGAGATATAGAAGATACCGATTGGAGCTCACCACTCTGCCTCATGGGCGTACAAATGTTGAAGGTCATTTCTTTATTGGTCAACTGAAATATCATCTGTCCCTTTTCCATATCAACCAAGGCTCTATCCGTAGCAAAGAATGTCCTCCCAAGAATAATAGGCACTTTAAAATCGACTTGACAATCAAGAATAAAAAAATCTGCTAGAAATATGAACTACTCCACTTTTACTAGCACATCGTGGAGTATCCCTATAAGACTTTTTACTGTTCGATCTGCCATAAGTAGCCGCATCGCAGTGGGCTTTGGATCACCCAAACCCAACTTCTTGTAAATTGAGAGGGGCATGAGATTTTTCCTTGCCCCCAGATCACATAATGCTTTCACAAAATGTAATAACCCGATTGTAGAAGGAATAGTGAACGCACCCGGATCTTATTTATTTTGTACCAGAGATCTTGTAGCAATAGCACTACAATGCTGCATTCTATAATCATCCTCACAAGTAACCGATATTTTATTTGTAACCAGATCTTTCATAAACTTGGCATACCGGGATTTTGATCTAAAGCTTGTGCGAAAGGGACATTGATAGAAAAATGCTTCAACGTTGTTATAAAACGCCAATATTTACCATCCTCGGTCTTTTTCACCAATCTTTAAGGAAATGGGGGTAGTGGTCTAGAAATGGGAGTTACCATCTTAGGCACTTCGACATCTTTTGTAGTGTTATCTTTTACTTCAACACTAACCTCTACCACTTTATCATTATCTTTTGTCTTGTTTTCCTCGTTAGACGACATAGGTAGGTCAATGGTTTGCTTACCAACGCGAGTAGTGATTGCCATATAGTGTCCATCATTTTTTGGATTTTTGATAGTGTTGCTAGGAAGATTGCCAGGTTTCCATGCATTTATAGTCGCAGATTATTGGTCCATTTGTAATTCAAGCTGCTTAAACGATATTGCATGTGTATCGACTTTCTGCCCAATACCCGCTGAATCACTCCTGAACAGTTTAGAGTTCTCATTACTAGCATCGGACCTCCTCATCATTTTGGGCAACATATCCTCAACTCACGTCATACTACCTCCACCATCCATAGGAGTAACTACACGATTTTGAGAAGGAACATAGGGCCCATTCCTATGATTTTTGTAACCGTAGTTACCCCTGTTCAAGTTGTTGTCGTAGTTGTAATTTCCATCTCTGACATAATGACAATCAGAGTTATATTTACCATAGATCCGACCTTCATTTCCTTGACCTTGGCGCCAATTATCCTCAATTGAGCCTTAGGAACTCGGTCGGAAACCCCCCTATGCTTATTTACCTTATAAGAATGCACCTCATAATAATAATATTCATCATTTAGTGGTGGTGGTGTACACATGTAGTTAACAACATTTATCTTTTCCACACCCCTAGTGACATGTTTTAATACCAACCCAAGCTCAGTTCTCATCTGAGGCATCTCTTCGCAAATCTCATTTGTGGCTGGGTTGTGAGTGTATTGCAATGCGAAGGTACTTCTCCTAGTATTTGACTTCCTATTACTCCAACCTTTATTCTTCCGAGAGACTTTCTCTAACTTTTTGTCAATCTCGGATAAGGACACTCCCTATAAGAATCACTACTATAGCATCTAATACCGCTTTATTATTATCATCTTGTCTCCGATAGAAGTATTCCTTTAGTGACTCATCATCTATGCGGTGATTCGGGACACTTCTCAAAAATGAAGTGAATCTATCCCAAGAACTACTAACTGATTCTCATGGTAGTGCCACAAAGTTGCTCACTCTGTCGTTGGGTTTAGTTTCTTCGAGACCGGGAAGTAACATAATAAGAAAATGTCCCTTAGTTGGTTTCAACTAAAAATTTAGTTAAAAATGAACTTAGTGAACCAAATAGCAGCCTTTCCCGTCAGTGAGAGAGGAAATACTCTTAGCCCTATTACATCCAAATCAAAATCAAGCCTCCCTACACAACTTTTACACACTGCCCTTACCTTAGCTATATGGGGATGTGGGTCTTCTTAAGGCAGCCCTGAAAACAAACCTCTAGCAGTGAGCATTTGTATCAGACTACTAGTTACCACAAAGGTGTGGAGTTGTGGTAGAGGGGGAAAGACAAGTTTCCCACCACAGTGTGCAATATTATCATATCCTCTGTAGTATTCTTGAGGGCTTGTAGCAAGAGGTGTTCTCCGTATTTCACCTTCCCCTGAAATATCAGGTAATATATGGTCATGAGCATCGACCAATGGTGGGATTGGCGGGGCACCTCACTACCTTGGATGCCCAAATTTTAATTTATTCTTCTTTAGGTACGTTTTATTTCGGGGTCAGGTTCAATTAAAGTTATTTTTCTGCTCCGTGTGTTTGACATATAAGGAAGTTAGACCTACAGTAGAAATAAACAAAGAGAAAAAGTAAAATTTGGAAAATATTGAGTAAACTTCGATAATAATCTTAAAGTTGATCTAAAAGCCACTTCCCCCTACAACTGCGCCAAAATTTGATACGCTCAAATTTACTTCTCGAAACGTAGTAAAAGCGGTCGCATCAAGTAAAGAACTCTACTATTGATATTGGGATCCTTCCCACGAGGAAAATAGTTCTGACTTAACTTTATACTATATTACTTCTATTTAGTCAATTATTTCCCGAAAAAAAATAACAAAGTGGGGTTTTGATTAATCAAATCAATTAGCAAAATAAAATTAAACAAGTGGTAGGTTCAAGTGTTGGAGTTTAATCAAGCAACGAGAGTAACTAGGGCGTAAGTATTCGCCACATGCTCCTTACTTGATAATTTTAGCTTTAACAATCCTTTCAAAGTATCTATATGCAAAGTGATAAGTTAGGTATCTCTAAACCCTTGGTTCGGCATCTCTAAAATTTCACTCGGCACCATGGTCCGGCTATATGTGTTGCTTTACTAAACCTTATTTTTACCTCATATTAAGCATCATATTTGACATTTGACTAAGTTGTTACTTCGTACCAACCGACACTAGCCTATAAGATAGTATACACTAAATCTACGCTGATAATTTTTTTTCTATTATCTACTTCCTTTGTCCGACAAGTAGCAATAAGGCGAGTTCTAAAGTTGTTCATCCGTTAAAAAGAATTCTAAGCGAAAGAATTATCAATACATGCAAGACACTTTTCTAGAATCGTTACTTTTGTTAGGTTTGACCTTTTTATTTATCCATGGTTCCCACAACCCTAGTTATGGAATTTTTTTACCCATATTCATAATAACAATATTCATATATTTAATATAAGAACTCATGCACTTACTTTGATGATAAAGAATAAAATCCAGAAATTCACTTGAATAATCAACAAAATCATCAACAATAGATTCCAGAAAAAGTGTAACAATTGCTGAAATTAATCCTTTAATACTTGAACAAGAGAACTAAAGATTCTCCAAAAGTCTAACAACAAAAAATTCTAGCATCAAAGAGTCTACTAACAAAAAGTCTAACAATAAAGAGTCTAACTCAATAAATGAGGTTTTTCGAACTATTTTATAATAAGAATAAAACCTAATAAAACAAAGGATTCTAATTAGTGAAAATCTGTCAAAACGCGGTGGGTCGACGAACATCGCGATGGACCGTCGTGGTCACGACGGGCCACCATTTACTCCATCGTCCCATACTTCACAAATTCTTTTGCTGCTCTCGTCATTACCCTCAACGAACAGGTATGACGGACCGTGCCAAGCACTACGGTCCGTCAAGGGTCTCTGCTCCCTAATACTTAGACTTCTTGGAAAATTTGGGTACTAGGACTACTCTCTTATCATTGCGACGGTCCGTGATGGACTTCCGTAATCACACACTTAGATCAGACTTCCCCATCTTTCTTCAACAGTTTCAATATGATGCCACCTATGGATCGTCACATTCTCGACGGACCATCACAAGCGTCATAAGTAATCATTCATCTTAACTAACATTGAGTCCTTAAGCTCCATCAACACATGATCATGATGCTGACCCTCCTTGACATTAACTACTAAGGATAATTCAGAACTAGGATGAACTGAAACACGCCCACTAGTAGAGTCTACTAACCGCACACCCAGTCTGGTCAGTCGGGGTATATTATTAAGCAACTCCTTCTTATTATCCTCAACGTGTGTTGTACTTCCCATGCTCATCCTACTCAAAGCATCAGCTACAACATCAACCTTACCTTGATTGTAGTGGACATTCATGTTATAGTCCTTCAAAAGCTCCAACCCCCTCTGCTGACGTAGATTCAACTCCCTCTTTGTGAAAATTGTACTGGAGATTTTTCCAGCCTGGGAACACATCCACATATACTCCATACAAGTAGTTCCTCAACAATTTCAGTGCAAATACCACAGCTACCAACTCCAGGTCATGAGTGGGATAAGTCTTTTCATGAACCTTGAGTTATCTGGACACATAAGCTATCACCTTACAACCCTGCAAAAGAACACAACCCAAACCTACCCTAGAGTCATCACAATAAATAGTGTAATTCTCACCACACTTTTTTAAAGTAAGAACCAAGGATGAAATGAGTGTGTTCTTGAGCTACTGTAAAATCTTTTCAAAAGTCTCTATCCATTCAAACATGGCCTTCTTCTTAGTCAAAGCTATCAGTGAGGTAACAATGGAAGAAAAACCCTCCATCAACCTGCGGTAGTAACCAACCAATTCTAGAAAGCTGCGGTTATCAGTGGGAGTAAGAGGTTTTGGCCAGTTCTTAACAGCCTCAGTTTTTCTGGCATTCACCTTCACCCCTTTGTCGGACAAAACATGACCTAGAAAAGTCACTAATCTTAGCCATAATTCACACTTGTTGTATTTGGCATACAACTTATGTTGTCTAAGTACCTGCAAGATTAGTCTCAAATGTCGTTCATGCTCTTCCCTTGTCTTAGAGTAGATGGGAATGTCATCAATGAACACTATGACGAAAGGGTCAAGGTATTCATGAAAGACCCTATTTGTGAGATCCATAAATGCAGCAGGTGCATTCGTGAGACTAAATGACATAACTACGAACTCATAGGGAACATAACGGGTATGAAAGGCTGTCTTTGGGATATCTCCATCCCTAACCCTAGGCTGATGATACCTTAACGGAGATCAATCTTCGAGAAGAAACTAGACCCTTGGAGTTGGTCGAATAAATCATCTATTCTCGGAAGTAGATATTTATCATTGATGGTGAATTTGTTGAGATGTAGATAATATATACACATTCTAAGGGTTGTATCTTTCTTTTTCACCAGTAACACTAGAGCGTCTCAAGGGGATATGCTCGGCCGAATGAAACCCTTATCAGTGAGATCTTTTAACTGCAGCTTCAACTCTTTGAGTTAAGCTGGAGTCATTTTGTACGGAGGAATTCAATTTTTTTTTCGAGTTCTATGTACCAAAGTAAATCTCTCGAGGGAGTAGAATTACAGGCAAATCATCAGGAAATACATCTTGGAACTCATTCAGTAGAGGCACTAAGTCTATGGAAGGAATGTAATGATCTAAATTGTAAACACTAACAAAATGGCACAATAACCCCATAGACATCATTTTATTGGCCTTAATGTTCGAAATCAAGGGATAAGGATTACTCGAGTCGTACCTCTTCTAGACTAGATCTTTTTCATTAGTGAAACACAATCATACAACCCTATTACGACAATCCATAGAAGCATAACAACTATAATGCTAGGCCATACCACGATTATCATCAAATCATGCATGGGTAACTCAACCAAGTTTGCACACATAGTCTTACCACATACAACTATTGGGAAATCCTTGTATACTCTCTTAGTTCTTACATTCTCTCCTAAAATAATACTAACAACTATAGGATCATTTAAGACATCAGGCAATATCTCAAAAGTGAGAGCAAGTAAAGAAGATACAAAGGAAAGCGTAGACCTTGGATCAAGTAAAGCATAAACAAAAGTTGAGAATACTTGCAGCATACCTATGACCACATCAGATGAATTATTGTACTCCTTCCTAGACATAGGGGCCTAGTACCAGTTCCTCTTAGGAGGCGCTGCTGCTGCTGCATCCTGCGGATTAGGCCTAGGCTGAGCGTTACATCTAGCCTGACCTCTTTTCTGATGGCACTTGTTAACTGTGTGCCCGATCTTACTACAACCGAAGCAGTCATTAATGCCTTGTCTGCACTCTCCACTGTGAGCATTGCCACACTTAGTACAGTCCCTTCTGGGACACTACATGTCACCTCCATTGCCCTTCTCGGGCTTGGGTCTACCTTCTCTAGGTGTTGTACTCCTATAAATGTTAAGAGTTCCCCAGAATTCTTTCGCCATTTTTTTTGAATTTGGGCTATTCCCAGAACTCTGTTGCCCCTTTTTGAATTCAGGCTGTTCATGGACGCCAAACTTGTTTTTGTTGCCACCATTACTATGACCTGCTTGATCGTGAGGCTTAGGCCTCCTAGCATCACAAACACCTCTCTTCTTCCAGTTTTCCTCTACCTTTTGGACATTACCATCAACCTGGAGAGGGCCATGTTATCGTGGAGCATCGCAGACCAACACCCCTCCTCCAAATCTCTATTGATTCCTATGAGGTACCTGCTAATCTCTTCCCTACTGTTATATAGAAGGGAAGTAGCATACCTGGACAGTTTAACAAACCTCAAGGAATACTCCTTAACATTCATATATCCCTGCTTATGGTTGATATACTTCTCAACCTTGGTCTCCCTCATCTCTCTGGGAATGAATCTATCTAGAAAGTCTTTTTTAAAAAACTCCCAAATTACCAGAACTCTGCCAAAAACTCAGCTATCTTTCCACATGTTGCACCAAGTCTTTGCAACATCCTTGAGTTGATAGAAAGCCAACTCTATTTTCTCAGTGTCTGTGGACACCATAGCCACAAAAATCTTATGCACCTCATCGACAGACTCCTAAAGATCCTCCGAAGTCTTATACCCTATGAAAATAGGAGTATTCATCCTCGTAATGTCTCTCAGCCTGTTAACCATCCTGCAAATCGATGGGTTCTCCCTATGAACATTCTGTCGGTTGACCTGGTAAGTCTTGGCCTGGGCCTCCATAGTGATGGCCTGTGCAAGCTGGGCCAGATATGCCCGCACCTCAGCATTTGTTAGACCAGAAGGGTGAACCGGCATAGCCACTCCATCAGCTGGATAATGGGGTGGAACCTGATTATCCCCAGCAACTCCTCCTCTTATCCTTTGACCAATTGTTCTCCTAGTATTCCTTCTATGTAATCAACAAGGATTTATGTTAGACACACTCATAACACCAAGAAAATGAGACATTAGGAAAGGAACGATAAGATCAGAAGAAGGGAAATTTTTCTATGCATCACATAGTCTCCAATTCAGGATATTGCTGCACTTTACTACCATTACCTAGAAACTACTCAATGTGGTTATTGTGAACTTATTATTTTCGTAATTCAACCTAGTTCTATGATACGAACTTTGTCACAACTGGAATCTAGATCCCAGACAAGATCAATGTTTTTGACCTCTCAGAGGTCGCAGACAAGCTTGCATACATCATCCTTACTTCATCTAGGTTAATTGTAGCAGAAAATCTAAAACATTTTGTTTCTTAACATACATGTTTATATACTACTTAACATCATACGAGTTCACAAATCAACCACCTAATAAAGAGATAATCAAATGAAAGAATCAATTCAAAATTTTATTAAACGTATTTTTTCCAAAACAACACCAATACAAAGTTCGAACAAAAGTGGAAAGAAAAACTAATGGAACATGCATCCTAAATGTATTCTAGATAAGAACGATAGACATCCTCGAAAGCATGAGGGCCTACCATGTTCGGATGAAAGCTCCACATCCGAATAGCTGCAACATCAACCTGTAAGGTCTAGAATCTATATTTGGCTCCACCTAAATTGTAGAATTATGTGGGATTAGTACACACTTCTACTAAGTATGGTTATATGCAAGAACACATAAAAGACATGCATGAATAAGAACAACTCTTTCCTAACAACATGATTCTTAAAAGTCAAGTCAGTGGACTTGTCAAATTGTGATTAGGAAAGTTAGTGAGCTTTATAAATTTAGATTAGGAAAGTTAGTGAGCTTTAAAATTTTTGATTCGGAAAGTCATTATACAAGTGTAACATGCATAATCATACTTATTATATTGCACACAACACATTACATCTTACACATAGCACATAACAAATTGCATATAGCACATAAAATCTTTCGTATCATTCATTCATATGCCTTGAGACATTGGAATCATGGACATGACATTAAGACATCCCAAAATGAGGGATAAACATATGAGGCCTCAACTAGGGTTCCTTCAGTAGCAAACACAAATTCTGCTTCATTCATTCATACGTACTTCATTTCATTTCGTTCATAGGCTATTGTAAACACCAACTCTACCTAGATCTTGTCTAAATAACCTTTTGATCATCCAATCTTACACCTTTTGGTATCATTCATTTCATTATGTGCGTAATTTGAGGCTTTCCTCATTAATTCTTTGGGAACTTTAACTTTAACCGACATAGATCTTGTGAGCATCATGAAATCAAGTGTCTTCCACATACCAGAAAGAGGTCGAATCACAAGCCAAAGTGACCCAAAACATGCTAGCATATATAGGGGATGTAACCCTGGTAGATCCATATATTTTCAGTATAGGTTCATAGACTAGGTGATATAAGGAGACCCATACTCGGCATGCCGGATATTCACATCTCATGAGAGTTACGTGAACCTCCTTCCTTACCGAAGGAAGGAAGTACCGCTCCTTGCTAGTCTATTGGTACTCACTATAAAGTTCCATGACATTGAACTGATATGTCATGGAAGCTGACTTTTACAATGAGAACATCATCGCTCAACATATTATTTCTCAACTTATCATCACTATTATTTATATATTATTCTCAATACTTTCATTAGAGTGTTCATAGAGTCTAGCCTCTTCATTTTTTTTACACAATCATAGCTTAGTATGTTTTAGCTAACATTTACTTAGGCTCATTTGAGATTTCTCTCATCTTTTACGTTAGCCTCTTATTATATCGACACCACATTAATTAACTTTATCACATTTGCTCTTCATAGTTACTCACCCCTTGTCACGTGAATGTTCATTTCATCATATGCAAATGCACTTGGCCATTTTGTGTGTTTCACACTCTTACTTCACCCTTCTTGGGTTTTATCATTTCAATGTTCATTTCATTTAATTAGTTACACAGATCATAGGTTCACTTACTTCTAAGAGTATGCTAGACTTATGGGTTTATAAATAGAAGCCATGAGGCTTCATTCATAGTTCTTTTAAGTGATTCATAACTTCCTAAGATTATGTGGTACTAGACTTATGCATGTTGTATGTATGCCAAGATCTCGATTTTAATCGATGTAGGTAACATTATTATTGAATATTTATTAATGTAAGACTTATGTATCAATACGGAATTTCATCAATGGAATCTGATTTTGAATGCCTTGCTCAACACTTACAGTTTTATTTATTTTTGTTTGATCCACAAAACTTTGGGACCCAAATCGAGCCCCAAAGCCTTAATTTCATTTTCCCCTTGATTTCTCCCTTTATTTTTTTTCATTGGGACTGAGAAAATGTGGGATCAAACCCCCACAACCTCATTTTCTTTTAATTTCCTTCTCTTCAATTTCTCTCCTCTTGGCCGAGGGGGTGTCGGTTCGATCCCTCACATCCCCACTTAATTTTTCTCCTTAATTTTCCTTGGTTCTTCCTAGAGGTCGTGGTTTCGATTCCAACAAGACTCAACCTTTTATTTTTCTTTTTATTCCTCCTTAAATCTGATTGAGAGGTGGTGGGTTGAATCCTACTCCTCTCATTTCTTATTTTTTATTTTATTTTCGGATCAAGGCACATCGGTTCGAAGCCGACATGCCACATTCTCTTTTTCTCATACTATTTCCATGATTTTTAACATGGTGAGGTCTCATGTTCGATTCTTAGTGGCCTCACATATTTTAATTCATTTTTGCATAGCATGATAATCCTCTTAACTTGGCCGACACTCATCAACAAGATGCTGGAAATGTTTGCAGCCTAGTTTCTCATCTCCTTAACAATAAATGTTTAAGACATTTTAAGTAGTTTTTAGTGAGTTCTTTAGGTGCATTTTCATGGATTCATTTGATTATTAGTTTTCATACAAATTAGCATTTTTCCATAACTTATGAACATCATGATTTAAGTAATATTGTGAACATGAAATACTACCATTAACATGACATTATTCAAACATGAATCCAAGACTGTATATCACGGATACACATTGCACACACATCATTTTTCACTTAATTTCGGACAACATGCTCAATATTCACATAATTCAGAACATACATATGTAAACATAATTATCACGAAGACACATTACATTCCTAATTTCTACCAGCAAACATAACCAACCTATGATTTGATGGGAGCTAGTGACAAGGACATGCAAAGACGAGCAAACCTAGTTTTTGGAATTGATTTGTCTGAACCTTAAGGAGTCTCTTGGGAAAGGGACCAAGAGAGAAGAGAACCCATACCTTTTTGACGTTCAAACCTGGACTTTCTTCCAAAAACATTCCCTAAAGATCACGTCCAAATCCCCTCAACTTCAACACTTATTCAACGAACAAATCCTATATTTGCCTAACATGTTTGGTTAGCGTTTGTTTTCTTATATTTTCGTGTGAGTTCTTCAGGTGTGAAAAACTTTGGCCTATTTTCTGTTCTTGTATTTGTTTAGGCAGATAGAACGTGAAAGAGAAGAGAGAATGATCGTGTATTGAGAGATATATGTGAGTAAAAAGAGTTTTCCTAGGATTAGGAGTTTAGTTTAGGACTTAGTCAAATAAGGTTTAGCTAAATGGTAAAATATGATTTCCCTTTTATTTTAAATCAGACAATAAATATTAATTAATTAAGTTAATTACAAATTTAAATAAGAACAATTTAAATCATTGATTTCACCTAGGTTTGAACCCGGGTGGAGCAAGAGTTCACTTCAAAGACAAATTTTTGGTCCTCGCTCACAAAATTTCCCCTCAACATTATTAAATAAATAAATAATTACATATTTAGGGTAATTATGTTACTATCCTTAGCCAGGAAAAATAGCATTTTACTCATAGACCCTCCAAACTTAAGA